AAGGGCAGAAAGAAGGGAAGGAAGGAGGACAATGAACAAATGAATGAATATATAAAATAATGGATGAAGGATGAAATGGGGGCCTGCTATGATCTGATTTGCCCCCCAAATTGATGTGATGAAATTTAATGGCCAATATGATAGTATTAAGAAGAAAGGCCTTTAGGAGATGATTAAGTCATAAATGGGAAGCCCTCATGGATGGGACTTATAAAAGCCTTAAGAGAGTGAGTTCAGCTTTTCTTTGCCATATAAGGCCACAGTGTTTTATCTTCAGAAAATGGAGCAACGAAGTGGCATGCTAGAAGCAGAGAAACTTGACTCTATCAGAAACTCAACATGCTGGCACTTTGATTATAGACTTCTCCACCTCCAGAAGTGTGAGAAATAAATTTCAGTTGTTTATATATCACCCCGCATCAGGTATTTTGTTACAGCCTGAAAGTAAAAGAAGGGAAATAATGGTGTAGGCAAAACGCTCGGTGGTGTCAGGGAGAACGAACAAGTTCAGTGCAAAAGCTTTCACTGACTCTCCATTGTCTAGAGCAAGGATGAATGAGCAAACTATTGTCTGCTGCCTGCTGCCTGTCCCCAAGGGGGCTGATTGCTGACGGGTGACAGCCAGAGCTTTCCAGTAGCCTGGGGAGTAAGTCATTTTGTTCCAAAGGGGGATCTTGTAGCTGCCCAATAGGTTCTTCCTGCCTATTGCACAAATAAAGATCAGAACATTTCAGTAAAGAAAGAGTTTGGCTGATATGAGGCTGGCCACACCATGTGGGAGATGAGTTATTACTCAAATCAATCTCCCTGAAAATTTGGGGATGGAGTTGTTAAGGACAATTTGGTAGGTAGGAGGTTGGAAAGTAGGAAGTGCTGATTGGGCAGATCAGAGATGAAATCATAGGGAGTTGAAGCTGTCCTCTTCACTAAGTCAGTTCCTAGGTGGGGGTCGCAAGATAAGAAGAACCAGTTTATCGATCTGGTTGGTGCCAGCTGATCCATTAAGTGCAGGGTATGCAAAATATCACAAGCACTGATCTTAGGTTTTATAGTAGTGATGTTATCCCCAGGAATGATTCGAGGAGGTTCAGAATCTTTCAGCCTCCAGCTGAATGACCCCTAAACCATAATTTTGAATCTTGTAACTATTCTGTTACTCCTACAAAGGCAGTCTAGTCCCTAGGCAGGAAGGGGTTTTGTTTTGGCAAAGGGCAATTATCATCTTTGTTTCAAAGTTAAACTTTAAACTGAGTTCCTTCCAAAGTCAGTTTGGCCCATGTGCAGGAATGAATGAAAACAGCTTGGAGGTTAGAAGCAAGATGGAGTCATTTAGGTCAGATCTCTTCCACTGCAATAATTCTCTCAGTTATAACTTTTGCAATGGCAGTTTCAATTTGAAGGCACAGTATAGAATCTTTCCCCATCCAATCATCCTTTTATGCATTAGACAGTTCCATTTATATGCTGCTGTGTCAGTAAAGGGAAATATTCTAATTCAGAGAAGATACAAGATTCAAATCTCAGTTGTTTACCTAAAGCTGAAGATAATACATGTATTCATCAAAACCAAGATAATGAAGATTCATTGAGATAAAACAAGTAAAGTACCACAGTACCATGTCAGCTGCAATTATTATTATCTCTATTGCAGGGTTTTGAAATACATTTGTCTAGCAAATGCTCCAGAGTTAAAAATAAATATATAGTTTACAAGATATACAAACGCTGGGATTATCGCTATTAAAATTTTTAAGCATGCTCAATAAATGGCAGTTCTGAAATTTCCCTAGGATTTGAACAAATTAAAAATAATAAGGCTGAGGAGTGACAGGAGGATGCCTGAATATCTCATTTTGACAGATAAAAGTTGAGCAGGCCCACTTGATGTATGTGTCTAAGAATTAGACAGACTTATCAACCTAATCTCAGCCACACTAAACTGTGACAAGCCTCCCATCCTATCCCTCATAGGCGAAGAGCCTAGCCTTGGAGGAATAGAGCAGGAAGACTATTTCAAAACGTAAATTAAAGTAGAAGAGCTGAGTACGCCTATGCCCTGTTCACTCTTTTCAAATGTGCTAAACAGATAAGTCTCTTCTCCTCTCTCTCTAGATTGGAGTAACCCAACATGGAAGAAAAATGTCACAAAGATGTTAATAGACTAAATAGATGAAGTGGAAGGGAAGAGGGAAGGAAGAAAATAAAGAATGCAAAGGAAGAAGGTAGGGAAGGAGAACAATGAACACATGAATGAATGTATTAAAAGAACAGATGAAGGAGAAATGGGGACCTGCTACAGTCTGATGTGTCCCCCAAGAGATAGACTAAGGTGAAGATTCACTGAGGTCTCTTCACATAGAAGAAAACAACTAGCATCCTGGAGATGTGTTCCCCTAAAACAGGTTTTTATAGAGAAATTCTGAATGTTACCACCCTTGGGTCAGGCTTCAACTGGCCAAAACATTGGCCAGTAGCCTGGGGAGTAAGTTATTTAGTTTCAAAGGGGGATCTTATAACTGGAAACAGAAACACCAAAGGGAAATTCAAAAGTTCTTAAATTCTCTTGGTTTAATATAGTGGGTACTCTATAGCATTTTTTTTTTTTAATTTTAGTAATGTACTTTCATTTTTTGCAACTTACTTTTATTGGAGAGTTCACTACCATTTTTAAAGTCTGAGGAATCACTTTATTTAAAAAATACCTAAAATATATAACCAGGGAAGTAATTGCATTAACAATGATCACAATCAGGGAGAGCCCTAATCTTGTAACGTGAATATCTGATTTTCTATCTCACAGTTCTACCACTTCCTAGCTAAATATCCTTGACTAGTCATTTAAACTCTAAATCTCTGTTATCTCATCTTTAAAATGCAGAGGATACCAGGTTACTTAAGATTTTTCACCTGATGCTGAACAGATCACTAAAGGATAGATGAGAAAATACTTTAAAAGTGTTGGCATCTTCAAGAACTTCAAATGTATTTTAATGCGATAGAATTTTTTTTTTTTTTAATCGTGTATATTGGAAACATAGACAAAGAAAAAGTACCAGTGTTTTAACAGTATTTAACAACAAAACACAAAGAGAAAAGGAACAAGGAAAAGATTCCATTTTCTCCTACTCATACATCCATTAATTTTTCATGATAGGCTCAGCCTTGGAGATATTTTACATATAAGAGGAGTTTTTCATTATGTTGTCCAAAGACCAAGTATTTGGGAATCAACAAATAGCCAAACAATTGGATATTTTATATAAATGTAAAACCACTATATTTATCCCTTTTTTAAAAAAGTCAGACTGAATCTACCATGAGTTTCTTCTTGCAAATGCTTTTCATTCAAAAATGAAACAAAAGACATGCTGCTGCTAAGAGCTTCAAGGTCTAGAATGCTTATGTGCTCCTTATTATAATTCCTTTCTTCAAAATTGGCATTTTGTGTCCCAGAAGGACAAGCCTTGTGTTCACTCAGCTCTAGGAATTGATTAATGTCTCGGGATGTGATGTATATTTAAGTCAAACTTGTGGCCTATTAGCAATTCACAAACCATGACTTGCACAGTGCTGTGCTCAAATCTATTTTGCATTACAAAATGTTTATAAATCAGTCTCTATTCCCAGAATGTTATATAAACATGTCAACAAATCACATGTGTATTAAGGGGAAAGAGGTAGTTGTGAATTTATCATAGCTTCAGGCTGTTCTGGGACAAATTAAATACTACCCTGGCCACTGAGGTCCCTACGAGGCAGTCGGTCAGAATGAACTGCAGATAAATTGAAGTTCTCTTATTGGAGGCAAGCCAGCAGCTCATCCAAATATGAAAAATTGTATCTCCACACTAAAAAAATTAAACCATGATAAGACAAGATTTTCATTTCTGCAAGACTGCAGTCTTATGATTTCTTCAGATAATGAAGATATTTTATGGCTGAAAAATAAAAGTCACAAGTGGGTGGATAGCAGAGATAAAGGAGGGTGAGGACATTACCTATTTCTTTTCCCAGCACCTGAGACATTTTTGTGGGAACAGCTGGGAAGGGGGCTTCAGAATAATTGAATATATACAGTCAATTACATATATTTTATATAAATATATATACACACACACATACATTTGTATATATAATCACATATTTTAAATGTAGAGGATGCCAATTTGCTAATAATACATATATATTATGTTTCTAGCAAGTGAGTCATTTTTCTTTTACCTTTGGAAACTTAACAGGCAACAGAAAGTAGATAGAAGAGAAGCCCCTAAGCAAAGGGCTCACAAATTTTCCCTGAACCCACCCGAGAGATAACAGCCTAGATTCTGGTCTTCAATGGGATTTGGTCTCGTACAAACCTCATTTTTCTCTATTTATCTAAAAGGATGTGATTGGACATAAAATAAAAGTGGTCTCTATGCAGTGACTGATGTGAAGATATGTTTTGATATGAACCAGCTCTCCTGAAAGGTCTTTTAGTCAATTCAAAGGTTGATCTGATATAAAACTTTACCTTATCAAATAAGGTGTTTTCTTTTATGTTATATATTTTTTACCACAATAAAAAAGAGACTGTTTT